CCTCCCCCGGGTCGTAGCCAGATGGCATTGGCTAGTAGATGGAACCCGGAGGAGGCTGACCCTGTGCGATGTAATGGGTCTTTGGGAGGTAATTGGCAGTAGCCAGATCCAATACCATGAAGGGCTTTATAAGTGACGACTAGCACCTTGAAGCGTATCCGGAGACCGATTGGAAGCCAGTGCAGCTCGCGGAGGATAGGTGTAACGTGGGTGTATCGAGGTACACCCACAATTGCTCGCGCGGCCGCGTTCTGGACCAGTTGAAGTCTCCAGTTGAAGAGGCAACTGGGCTTTCTGGTTTTCCTTTGAAGACCTTTCGCTTCTCATCCAAGAAGCTTCTTCAGCTCTGACTGGATGGTGGGGAATGGAAGGGTTTATATTCCTTGCAGACAGCTGGTCCTTTGCATTCTTTAGCGAGTCTTAAGGTAAAGGTAAAGGTTCCCCTCGCACATATGTGCTAGACGTTCCCGACTCTAGGGGGCGGTGCTCATCTCTGTTTCAAAGCCTAAGAGCCAGTGCTGTCCGAAGATGTCTCCATGGTCATGTGGCTGCCATAATGAAATGCCGATGGCGCATGGAACGCTGTTACCTTCCCACCAAAGGTGGCCCCTATTTTTCTACTTGCATTGTTTACCTCCTTTCGAACTGCTAGGTTGGTAGAAGCTGGGACAAGTAGCGGGAGCTCACTCCGTTACGCGGCACTAGGGATTTGAACTGCCAAGCTCTCGATCTTTCTGATCAACAAGCTCAGCGTCTTAGCCACTGAGCCACCAAGCCCCTCTTACCGAGTCTTAAAAGAATGCCAAAAAAATGCAAAGGACCAGCTGTTTGCAAGGCATATAAATCCTTCCATTCCCCATGGTGGCTGGGGAATCATGGCTGGGAAATTCTGGGAGTTGAAGTCCATGAGTCTTAACATTCCCAAGTTTAGACATCCCTGCCATAAATATTTGAGAGCAATGCAATCGTTCTTCAGGGCCAGAAGAGTTTTCAATCTCGCAAACCATCATCAGGGCCAAAAACAAGAACAAGCACATCAGGAAATCACCAAACAACCTCAGAGCTGATTGCTAACCTGGTTGAGGACAATCCAGTTGGGGTCTATCTGGGCATCTCCTTCAGGATCCAACACAACGGTTTGAAAGGCCCGGAAGTCAGTCAGTGTCACCTGAGCATTTTCAGGGCAAACGTCAATCCGGTCAACCACGTGGTCCTTATCAAAGTCATCCTGGCAAGCATCTCCAACACCGTCTCCTGCAGAAGAGGGAGTGGGGAATCAGCTTGCCTTGGGTTCAAAGGCAGAACTAGGGCCACAAGCATCACACACCATCCTTCCCACCAAAGGTGGCTCTTGTTTTTCTACTAGCATTTTTTAACATGCTTTCTAATTGCTAGGTTGGCAGAAGCTGGGACAAGTAATGGGAGTTCACCCTGTTAATGCGGCGCTAAGGATTCGAACTGCCGACCTACTGATCTACAAGCTCGGCATCTTAACCACTGAGCGACCGCGTCCTATCTTTGATCTGTCAGCCTAAACTGGTGAATTCTCCACCTCTACTTTTCCAACAGCCAGTTGGAAAAGTAGAAATGCCTCCAGACAGTGTTTCTCAACCTCGGAGACCTCTGTTCTTCCTTTCTCTGTTTAATTTTATCTCTTTCTCTACCTGCTTCTACCTGCCAAGCATCTTCAACTATATTTGTTAGTCTGGTTTTACAAAGCCTAGACTAACCCAATGTTTTCCAGCTTGGCAACTTTTAAGGCATGTCGACTTCACCAACATTCTTAAAGCTGCTATGCTTGAAAAACACTGGACAAACCCTTCCAGTATCCTTAACTTTTCCTTGGGAGTAGCTGTAGCGTCTCTCCCTAACGTCCCAAGTTGCTGTTCCACAAGGTCTCAACCACACCCCTTTGGGAAAGAAGGAAAACAACCTTTTCCAGTCGTATGCACACATACTTTGTTCAAATTAACTGGCTGGGGAAATTCTAGGAGTTGAAGTCTACAGATTTTAAAAAATTGCCAAGGTTGAGAAACGCTGTTTTAGTGCAAGGGTCTCCAAACTTGGCAATTTTGAGACTTGTGGACTTCCAACTCTCAAAATATATATTATATATTTATTTCAGTTTATATCAGCTTTCTGTCCTATGGTGACCAAAGACTTTAAAGTCTTAAAAGTTGTGAAACTTGGGAGACCCCTGTTCTTGTGAATTCTACACTGATCAGCGGGATAGACTACGGCCTTTTTCCAGATCCAGGATATATTTTATGTGATTTTATTATTTTAACTCCCTTGTGGACACTAAGGGGCGACTGTTCCATGTTTGTGCTTCCTTATAAAGGAAGAAGTTGAGAGAGAAAGCATGTTGTCCTCACGGTTTGTGTCCTCCTGGCCAGGATTGGGGACCAAACGACAGTTGTCAGGCCCTGGGGGATTGTGATCTGGGATGCCATCATTATCATCATCATCATCACATTCATCTCCAAGCCCATCCTTGTCAGAGTCCAGCTGGGAGCTGTTGGGCACCGAAGGACAATTGTCGCGGGAATCCTGGTGCCCATCTCCATCTCTGCCAACAGGAAAGAAAATTGAGAATTGGGTAACAAGTGAAATAAGAGAATGGTAGAAAAGGGAGATCTTTAGCCAAGCTCTTTATCCCCTAAATTGCTCCCAAGAACTACTGTTGGCACACCTATTTGAATTCTCTTCAGATTCCCAAGACTAAGCCATCCATCTTATCAATGAAGCAATTGCACATCTGTATGAAGTTCTCCAATCAGTTTAGTTTAGTGCTTTGCTAGAGTTCGACATTAGGAGAATACTGAATGGTCTCATGGCCCAGGATGTAGCAGTGCAATTATCTGCATGGATCTTCTACTCCACCTCTTTGGAGAAAGAGTAGTTCATTGTCCCAAAGACGCTTTTTCAAAAGGTGACTGGATTTCGTTTTTCCTTGAAGATGTTTCGCTTCTTGTCCAAGAAGCTTCTTCACTTCAGTTCTTCAGAACTTAAAAAAGAATTAAGAACTAGAACTAAGAAGAAATTTCCTCTCAGGACAATTAAACATGGAATGACTTGTTTCCAGAAGTTGTGAATGCTCCAACACTGGAAGTTTTTAAGATGAGATTGGATAACCATTTGTCTGAAATGGTGTAGGGTTTCCTGCCTGAGCAGAGGGTTGGACTAGAAGATCTTCAAGGTCCCTTCTAACTCTGTTAAAAAGGTAAAGGTTCTCTTTGCACATATATGCTAGTCGTTCCCGACTCTAGGGGGCGATGCTCATCTCTGTTTCAAAGCTGAAGAGCCAGCGCTGTCCGAAGACGTCTCTGTGGTCACGTGGCCGACATGACTAAACGCGGAAGGTGCACGGAACGTTGTTACCTTCCTACCAAAGGTGGTTCCTAATTTTTCTACTTGCATTTTTATGTGCTTTCAAACTACTAGGTTGGCAGAAGCTGGGACAAGTAACGGGAGCTCACTCCGATACGTGGCACTAGGGATTTGAATCACCGAACTACCGACCTTTCTGATCAACAAGCTCCGTGTCTTAGCCACCGCTTCCTTTTTTTTCTAACTCTGTTATTCCTTTCTAAAAACAAAGTCCAATTGCCTTTTGAAAAAGCACCTTTGGGACAACCATGACCTGGATGACTGAGAATCTCCATAGACAGAAGGTCTTTATGTCAGCTTTCTGTCCTGTGTGTTGCCAAAAGAGTCTGACCGCAGCATCTCTGTGTGACTTTACCACTCTTGTCTCCCACCTAGAAGGGATTCATAGAGCAATTATTCTTGCAAGGATGCAGACGGAAACTCAAACCTTGCTACGTGTGAAATGAAGGCATATATTCTCCAACTCACTTGTCCTGGTTGGTGTCACATGGGTCTCCAACAAGATCGTGGTCAGTATCTTTCTAAGTAACGAAAAGTAGAAAACAGTTTTAATTGAAATGTCTTTGAATATTAATAGCTTAGGTTGGCTGTGGTTTTCCCAGTTGCAAAGGATGGCTGTGAAGGTTGGACCATAAGAAAGGCTGAGCGCCAAAGAATGGAGGCCTTTGAACTCTGGTGCTGGAGAAGACTCCTGCGAGTCCCTTGGACTGCAAGGCCATCCAACCGGTCAGTCCTAGAGGAGATTAAACCCTGATTGCTCTTTAGAAGGCCAGATCCTGAAGAGGAAACTCAAATACTTTGGCCACCTAATGAGAAGGAAGGACTCACTGGAGAAGAGCCTCATGCTGAGGAAGATGGAGGGCAAAAGAAGAAAGGGGCGACAGAGAAGGAGGTGGCTGGATGGAGTCACCAAAGCAGTCGGCGTGAGCTTGAATAGACTCCAGAGGATGGTAGAGGACAGGAAGGCCTGGAGGAACGTTGTCCATGGGTTCGCAATGGGTCAGACACGGCTTCGCAACTAACAACAACAAGCTCAGGTTGATAGTTATGTTGTTGGTTTGAGCTCTGAGGTTGACGATTTGGTCACAAACAATTTGATTGCGATTTGGTCACAAATGAACAGGGACAAAATGTTTGCAACCAAATCTCCAAGCTCGGAACTCAAACCAACAACATAACAGTTTTAATTGTTTTTTTTTTCTAAATTTACCTTCCTTTGGAAACCTCCCTAAGATGCTTTTATCAAATGCAGACTTAGAATTCTTGAATGTTTTGAGTAAAATATTTTCCACTTCTATCTTCAAAATCTTTTCCATGACGTCTCATGTTCCTAAACGTACCCTAGCTCTAAACCTACATTTCTATTGAATTGTTTAAACGATGGTTGTTTACAAAAAGATTTGAAGCAGGTGGCTTCCCACAATCAAAAGTCAAAAGATTTTATCCTGTGCTGGATTTTCCAGGCTCATTCACCCAGGAGAATGAAAAAGTCAGGGCACCATCCCAAATTATGAGTAATGAAATTCCAATTAAAACAGCGCTCTACACTTCAAGGGAAGGTTTGATTGGAAGGATTTGGAAGGACAGAGATCTTGGAATCAATTTTTTAGGTGGACATTCTGTAATTCCAGAAATGATGGTAGAATTCACGTTTCTGCAGCTTTTCTCAAAGAACTCCGATTTAATTTGGGACAGGCGACAGCTGGGAAGCAAACCTTTTATCATACACCAAATCTGGTATCTCTGTTCCAAAAATTTCTTTGGAAAAAAGGTTGGGAAAACCAGCTGTTTTTTACAAGATCTTGGACAATGATTAATGCTCGATGGTCTGACTTACAACCAGAGGTGGTATTCAGCAGGTTCTGACCAGTTCTGGAGAACCGGTAGTGGGAATTTTGAGTAGTTTGGAGAACTGGTAAATACCACCTCTGGCTGGCCCCGCCCCTATCTATTCTCTGCCTCCCAAGTCCCAGCTGATCAAGAAGAAATGGGGATTTTGCAGTATCCTTCCCCTGCCACGCCCACCAAGCCACACCCACAGAACCGGTAATAAAAAATTTTGAAACTGCTTACAACCATTTGTTTTCTGACTACTGACTTTCTGACAAGCAAGTCAATGGGGAAGAAATTATTTCAGAGAAAATTTTCAGAAATTAAAAAGGGAAGCCAGATTCACTTAACCCTGTAACCAACTTAACAACTGCAATGATTCATTTAATGATTGTGGCAAGGAAGTCCATAAAATGGGGTAAAACTAACAAATGTCTCACTTGGCAACATAAATTTTGGCCTCAATTATAGTCATAAATCAAGGACTACTTGTAATGGGCTAATTTAACAAATAATCCAGAGCAGAGCTAAAGCAGGTAGTTGTCAGGCCTGCAGTTATATCCCTTTTAGGATCTTTGGCCTGCCACACACTCTCTTATTTCATTATGCTGTTTCATTAGTGTAGTAGTTGGGAGGGGGAAATAGATAGATAGATAGATAGAT